AGTCCATTAGTTCAACTTTATATAAAATTGCATTGTTTGTGTGGCAAACACTGACTAGTTGCAATAAATTAAGTTGAGTGATTCAATTAAATTTTGGCTGAAGCTTGTATTGATAGTTTGCGCTCTACTTTAATAAATTTTTGAGAAAAATATATTTTGGAATAATTACTTTTTGAAAAATGTGCGGTTAAAAAAGAAGGAAATTTTTGTTATTTACGTATAGTATTATTTTATCAAAGAATGTGTGATAGAGAAAAAACTAAAAAAATAGATTATAATTTTAATGAAGTCCAAATAAATTAATAATTTTTAAAAATAAAAATTTAAAAGAAAATGATAGAGGAAGCATCGAAGAAACCAACACTCGTGCTTTTTTCGTGAATTGATAATTGACCCCATCATTATCAACATTTGTAGATGGCTTTCTGTATTGCTCTAAACATTTCTGATATTTACCTCTATTCGAGTTCAATTTATTATCCTAATTTTTATTTATTTATTCATTTTTTGATATTTTTATGTTTCTGACTAGTTCCTGATTGTGCTTAGTTTGCAGGATAAGTTATGGAGATTTTTGCTTTAGTCAGTCACCCCACCCCACCCCCCACCCCTCCTTAAGAATTAGCATAGAAGAAAGGCTTTTCATTATCAACTGTAAATTGTTTTCAACCAGTATTCCATTGAACAGCTTGCCTGGGAACACAATTGAATAACTATTTTATTTTTTTCTTTTCAATATTGACATCAAGAAGATTTTCGTGTTTTGCAAAATATAGGTAGAATTTGTTGATGTGTGAGTTCATTTTTTGGTGGGATAAGTTAAAGGGAAATTGCAGTTGCAGTATTCTAAAATTATCACTTTGACTCCAACAAAATTCTCTTGATTTTAAGATTTCAAAAATTTTAGTTGATACGAAATGACTCAACAAAAGACATACACACGACAAATATTTGGAGACTTCAAATCAAAAAACTTTTATTAGGGTCATTTCAAATCGAGTAAATTAATTCTGAGTTACGTAGTAATTCTGTTAACGAGATTGACAATTGTTATAAAATTTATAAATTTTGATAGCACATATTTTACCAAAAGCTATTGTTCATATGTAAAGTTGGTCACAAATATACTTTGGCCATGGTTTGGTGGTCTTAAATTTCAAAAAACATAGATTTGAATAGCATTTATTGGAAAATGCGTGGGGTTGGAGAAAATTTTGAGTTTATGTATATAATATTTTCTACTCGTTTTGCCTCTATTAAATTATAATTCATTTTTTCCCTTTTCTTATCAACCACATATTCTCCAATAAAATAATTTTAGGTTTATATTATGTGTACACCGTTACACCCCCTCCATGTGAGGGGGTGTCAACGTAAAAGTGTATGCACAGCATAATCCATAATATTATACGTAAACTTAGAACTTTTCTTTATTTTTAATCACATATTCTATAAAAAATTATTATTTTAAAATCAAATTCTCATTATTATGAGAGAATAATGGGGGTCAAATGGATGCTTTATTGTGTGAATGTGTAATTGAATATGAGTATGATAAATAAATTAATATATATTGTTGCCAAATACGAGTCTGATATTTATGTTCCAAATTCAATTAAGGAATTTTAACTCAATCAAATATTCTAATCAAGTAAAGCATAACTTCAAGTTTATGAGTTCAACTGTTATATAAGTGTTTGAATTGTAACGAACACTTATTAGAAGTAATAAAATTAAGTTGAATGATTGAATTAAAATTTGGCTAAAGGTTGGATTGATCACATTGATTTATATCTACATGTAAAGTTATTATTATTTCTATTGACTAAAGAAAAATAAAAAAAAATCAAGAAATGATAAGAGGAAGCAACAAAGGAACCAACACGTGCTTTTTTCTCGGATCGATTGTTGATGATTGACCCCACCATTATCACCACCATTATTGATAATTGACCCCACCAATATTGAGTATTGATAATTGATCCCACCATTATCACCATCATTATTGATTTATTCTTTTAGATTTCAATCCTACCGCGTGAAGTATTGACTCGGACCAATGGTTTGGTTTGGTTTCTTCTAAATTTGCATAGTGATGCAACTCGCCTTTTTATCCAAAGTCCAAATTAAAATCTATATTCTACACCATGTTTAAATAGAGGACATGGATAAAATACTTTACTCCTTTCTGGAAGTTAAAAAGGTTAATAAAAATTTAACTTAAAATCAACGATTAATTTTAATCACTTATTTTAAGGGATTCACAATTTTGAGCAATTTTTTTCAACTATACATTTGATCAACTTATGTCAAAATTTATCAAAACTAATTTCTAGTTAAATTAAATAGGGCTTGATTTCAATAGAAAATAAAGAACTCTTTCAAAAGCTTTGCATTATATATGCTAGTTTACATGGATATATAATAGAAAATATAATACTAACACGAAAATCATGAATCGTCCTTGGTGCTCCCCCACACCTTTAAGGGTTTTTTATTTTCACAAAACTTTTAAGAAAATTTTTAGTAGATTTTTAGTAAAAATTAATGTAATATGTCGTTAAAAAGTTGATAAAAAAATAAAGTTATGGATTGCATGAAATATTTGTTTAAAACTAAAATTTAATCAGTTAAAAAGTTGAAATTTTTTATCAAAACTTCATCAAACAAAGAACTAAAGAAAAATAAAAATAATAAAATATTACAACCTCTCCCAAACCCTTACCTTGCTTGGTCTTACTGCCTTTATCACCTATGTAAAAGGTTGAGTGATTCAATTAAATTTTGGCTAAAGGCTGGATTGATCACAATTATTTGCAATTATTTCTCATGTTAAGATGCCAACGTTTTCAACACATGCAGTTCCCACCTCCTATAGTGATTGATGTTCAATTATTTGTGAGGAGGGGGGTGTACATATAGCATAATTCATAATATTATACATAAACTCTAAATTTTTTCTTCATTTTTAATCACATATTCTCTAAAAAATTATTATTTTAAAATCAAATTCTCATTATTATAGAGAATAATGGGGCCAAATGGACGTTTTATTATGCGAATGTGTGATTGAAAATGAGCATGAGAAATAAATTAATATATGTTGTTGCTAAATACGAGTTTAATATTTATGTTTCAATTTCAATTAACAAATTTTAATATTCTAATCAAGTAAAGCGTGACATTAAGTTTACGAGTTCAATTGTTATATAAGATTGTAGTATTTGAATTGCGAACACTTACTAGTTGTAATAAAATTAAGTTGAATGATTGAATTAAATTTTGGCTAAAGGTTGGATTGATCACATTAATTTATATCTATATGTAAAGTTGTTATTATTTCTATTGACCAAAAAAAATAAAAAAAATAAAGAAATGATAAGAGGAAGCAACAAAGAAACCAACACGTGCTTTTTTCTCCGATTGATTGTTGATAATTGACCCCACCATTATCACCACCATTATTGATTATTGATAATTGATCCCACCATTATCACCACTATTATTGATTTACACTTTAGATTTCAATCCTACAATGTGAGAGATATTGACCCCGGACCAATGGTTTGGTTTCTTCTAAATTTGCGTAGTGATGCCATTCGCCTTTATAACCAAAGTCCAAATTAAAATCTATATTCTACACCAAGTCTAAATAGAGGATATGAATAAAATACTTTGCTCCTTTCTGGTTAAGTTAAAAAGGTTAATGAAAATTTAAGTTAAAGTGCTTGTTTGGTACATATTTCAAGTCAATTAAAATTAATTTTTTGACCGTTATTTCATTATTCCAGCTGTCGTTTTTGAATTTTTCTCTTATAGATAGGACCCACTTTATCTCTAATAGTCAAAAAATCAATTTTCAAAATCTCTACCAAACAAACACAAAATCAACGATTAATTTTAATCACTTATTTTAAGGAATTCACACTTTTGATCAATTTTTCAACTATACATTTGATCAACTTATGTCAAAACTTATCAAAATTAATTTTAGTTAAACTAAATAGGGCTTAATTTCAATAGAAAATAAAAAAACTCTTTCAAAAGCTTTGCATTATATGTGCTGTAATTTACATAGATATATATATAATCAAAAATATAATACTAACAGGAAAATCATGAATCGTCCTTGGTGCTCGCCCACCCCTTTAAGGGTTTTTTACTTTTACAAAACTTTTAAGAAAATTTTTAATAGATTTTGATTCAAAATTAACGTAATATATTGTTAAAAAGTTGATAAAAAATAAAGTTATGGATTGCATGAAATATTTGTTTAAAGCTAAAATTTAATAAGTTAAAAAGTTGACAAATTTTATCAAAACTTCATCATACAAAGTACTAAAGAAAAATAAAAATAATAAAATATTACCTTGCTTGCTTTTACTATCTTTATCGCCTGTGTAAAAGGTTGAGTGATTCAATTAAATTTTGGCTAAAGACTGGATTGATCAAATTATTTGCTATTAATTCTCATTATTTCTCATGTTAAGGTGCCCATTTGTTCAACAAACACGGTTCCCAGCTCAGGTGGTGATTGATGTTCAATTATTTGTGCCCCCACCACTATAAATACAAATTTTCATTATTGCCCCCGTTTGTGTCATTTTTCATCCAAGAACGAGGGCCTAATGATCCATTTGATTGTCGACAACTGGATGAAATTTATGAATAAAACTATTTTGACAGAAAATTTTGATCAAAAGGTTGACATAATTGCATGTAGAAGAAAGATTAGATGGAAAAATTAACTGTATTTTAAACTGTTCAATGATAAAATATAATGTGATATTTGGATTGAGAAATGAAAATTAAAGAGAAATAATGGGGCCGACAGGTAATTGCATTTTTATTTTTTTAGATATAAAATCAAAAGAAAGAGAGGAAGGAAAAAAAATGAAAAAAAGAAAGAAGGAAAGAAAATGACAGAGGAAGCAACAAAGAAACCAATACCTTTGCTTTTTTCTCCGATCAATTATTGTCTCCGCGTGAATTGATAATTGACCCCACCATTGTCAGCACTTGTAGACAGCTTTCTCAGTTTGTGAAACGACCACCACAACTTGAAATTTTCCTTTCATTTCTATTCAAGAAGTTAAACTCTCTTTCATTCTATCTTTCATCTATTGTTTCCTTTCTTAAGAAAAAGATAACAATGGCTATCGGAGAAGTTTTTATTGGCGCACTAATTACTGTTTTGCTTGAGAAGTTGGTCTCTGGCGAGCTAATGAAATTCCTGCATGGTGTAGGAATCGACTCCCAGCTGAAAGAATGGCGTAAGAAATTGTTGATGATGGAAGCAGTGCTTACTGATGCTGAAAACAAACAAACAACAAACGGAGCTGTGAAGGAGTGGCTGAAGGATCTGGAGGATTTGGCTTATGATCTGGATGACTTAGTGGATGAGTTGAACACTGAAGCTACCCGGCGCAAAATAAAGGAAAATCACGAAGCCAACAGGCCAAGCACTAGTATGGTACGGAAGCTTATTCCTTCTTGTTGTACTAATTTCTCTTTCCATGATTTTATGTCTGATCGCGGGATGGCTTCCAAGCTGAATGAAATTAGTGGTCGATTGGAAGATCTATTCAAACAGATTAGTATACTCAGTTTGGTCGAGAATGTGAGAGGGAGGCCTTATAGAACAACAGAAAGATTGGATCTGACTTCAGTTGTTGAAGAATCTGGAGTATATGGCAGGGAAAAAGACAGAGAGACTATAATCAATATGTTGTTGGGGGGAGAATCAAGTGATATTCCAATATCTGTGATTCCAATAGTGGGCATGGGAGGTGTCGGCAAAACAACTCTTGCACAACTTGTGTACAATGATGATCGATTAAAGGACGAATTTGATCTGAAGGCGTGGGCTTGCGTTTCAGATCAATTTGATGCTTCAACGGTTACAAAAACCATTCTTAAACAGGTTTCCCCTGGAAGGTATGACGATCATGATTTTAACACGCTTCAGGTGAAACTAAAGCAAAATCTGTCAAACAAGAAATTTCTGTTAGTTTTAGATGATGTTTGGAACGAATATTATGAATATTGGGACATCCTGAAGCATCCATTCCTGGCTAGCAAACTTGGAAGCAAAATCATCGTAACAACTCGTCAGCGTTCGGTGGCGAAAATCATGTCTCATAGTCCAGCTTATGATTTGAATGTGTTGTCGGGTACTGATGCTTTATCATTGTTAGCTCAACATGCACTTGAAGCCAAAACTTTTGATGCACGTCCAGATCTAAGAGATATTGGTAAGGCCGTGGTGGAAAAATGTGGAAACTTGCCACTGGCACTAAAGGCACTTGGAGGGCTTCTGCGGACAATGGGTAGTCCTAATGAATGGGAGGATGTATTGAATAGTGAGAATTGGATGGCAGAAGACAAAAGTAAAATTCTTCCTTCTTTAAAACTGAGTTACCAATATCTGCGTCCACAACTGAAAAGATGCTTTGCTTATTGTGCTCTGTTTCCTAAAGACTTCGAGTTTGACAAGTCCAAGCTAGTGTACCTTTGGATAGCAGAAGGTTTTTTACAAGTATCACAAAGAGAGATGCTAACACAAGTAGGCAGTAAATATTTCGACGAACTGTTTGCGAGATCATTCTTCCAAAGATCAAGTGCCAATGCTTCATATTATGTGATGCATGATCTCCTTAACGATCTAGCTACATTTGTTGATGGAGAAAAATGTTTGAGGATGGACGATGAGTTGAAGGAAAATCTTCCCAGCAGCATATCTGGAAATGTCCGTCACTTGTCATTCATTCCCCATCAATATGAAATGTACCAAAGATTTAATTTTCTGAAGAAAGTTCGAAGCTTAAGAACATTTTTACGCTTACCGTGTCCGCGGTGGTATCCTGAAAGATTCTTTCCCGACAAAGTTTCGGTTGAAATATTGCCGAAATTGCACTGCTTAAGAGTTCTATCATTAAGTGGTTATACGATATATGAGTTGCCAAATTCTATTGGTGATTTAAAACATCTACGGTACCTAGACCTAGCTGAAACTTTATTGAAGTGCTTGCCTGAATCTGTGAGCAACCTTATCAATTTACAAGTGTTGATTCTAAGAGGATGCTACAAACTTACAAAATTACCTGCCAGCATGGAAAACCTCATTAATCTTTTCTATCTGGACATTGCTGGTACTCGTGAATTAAATGAGATGCCTCAAGGAATCGCTCAACTAAAAAGTTTGCAGACATTACCCAAGATGATTGTGAGCAAAAGCAGTGGGATGAGGTTAAAGGATTTGGGGAATCTATCACTTCTACAAGGTAAAATTTCTATTGAGGAATTGCAAAATGTGGTAAATGTTCAGGAAGCAATTGACGCAAGACTAACGTCTAATCCAAGCCTTAACGAAGTAAGGTTGGCATGGAATGGCGAGTTTGGTGATTCCCGAAATGAAATTCTAGAATTTGACGTGCTTAATGCTTTAGAGCCTCATTATAACTTAAAAAGTCTTGAAATTGATTGTTATGGAGGTTCAAAATTCTCTAATTGGATTGGAGATTTATCATTCAGTAAGTTGGAAAAGATAAGCTTCAGTTTTTGTGGAAATTGCATTACTTTACCATCATTAGGGCAACTACCTTCCCTAAGAGAATTGAGCATTAGATGGATGGATCGAATAAAAGTGATAGGAGCCGAATTTTATGGAGATAAAGGCCTTTTTCCAGAGCTAGAGAGGCTGACTATTGAGGACATGCTAGATTGGGCGGAATGGCTTGGATTAACACATGAAGTAGAAGGTGTTGTCAGATTTCCTCAGCTCTCTAAATTGTGCATACAACGATGTCCCAAATTGGTCAAGATACCGATTCCCTCACTGCCATCCCTTTGTGAATTGAGCATTGGAGGGATGGATCGAGTAAAAGTGATAGGAGCTGAATTTTATGGAGATAAGGGCCCTTTTCCAGCGCTAGAGAGGCTGACTATTGAGGACATGCCAAATTGGGAGGAATGGCTTGGATTAACACATGAAGTAGAAGGTGTTATCAGATTTCCTCAGCTCTCTAAATTGTGCATACGAAAATGTCCAAAATTGGTCAAGTTACCAATTCTCTCATTGCCATCCCTTCGTGAACTAAAAGTGAAAGCGTGTAATGAGGTGGTGCTAAGTCACATGCACAATTTGGAATCTTTAACCCAATTAAATTTGGAGAAAATTTTCAGATTGACTTCAGTTTCAAAAGCATTTATGCAGTTTCCTTTTGCACTTGAAAATTTGGAAGTTTGTGATTGTAACGACCTTGAGACTCTATGGCCAAGTGATCGTATTGCTCAAAGCCTAGTCAACCTACGACGGCTGTCTGTTAACACGTGTCCTAAGCTCTTGACCCTTAGAGACATTGATGCTCTTCCAGTTCTTAGAGACCTTCGCATACTGAAATGTGAATCTCTAGAGTTTGTTCCCAATAGCATATCTTGTCTAAAAAGTTTAGAAATCAGGAATTGTTCCTCATTGAAGACCATGATGAAGCTACAGGATTGCAACACCTCACTTGAATTTCTTTCGGTCGAAATGAGGGTGAATTTTAATTTGACAAATTTACTGGGATCAGTTCACAATTACACAAGTCTCCATCGGCTACATATATATTTCTGTGATGGTCTGGAGTCGTTTCCCCCTGGAGGCTTGCCCACTCCCAATTTGAAATGTCTTTTTACACATGATTGTCAACAATTGAAGTCCTTACCGGATCGGATGGAACTAATTTCATCACTTGAAAGCTTGTTAGTAACGCGTTGTCCTTTATTAGTAGAGCCCTTTCCCCAAAGGAAATTTCCTCCAAATCTGACGGATCTTTCATTCTGTAATTGTGGGAATCTAAAACCCCTGGGGGAGTGGGGCTTACACAAAATCACCTCTCTTGAAATATTCCAATTGAGTCTTTGCTATCAAGAGCTGATTTCCTTCTCTAATGACGACAATGATGATGATAACAACCATTTGCTTCCTCCATCTATAAGGAAATTGAACTTGTTTGACTTTCCCAATCTAGAAAGTCTAACAAAGGGCTTCCAAAACCTCACATCACTTCGGCATTTATGGATCTCCAGATGTCCAAAACTTGTGGCGTTGCCTATGGAAGACCAGCTCGACAGGCTTTGGAGTCTTCATATTGATAAGTGCCCGCTTCTTAAAAAACGGTGTTTGAAGAACGAAGGAGACTACTGGAAAATCATCGCTGACATTCCCGACATTGAAATTGATTAGCGTTCCGTCCATGATCCAGATCAATGATCATGAAACCCTCAAGTAACATATACAATTTGCTGAAACAAACAACACAATTTCGACTTTCCAGAAGAAATTATATCACGCGGTTAGTGTAGTAACTGCGGTTTCTTTAGCAAATTATTTGTTAATTTTTTAGGAAAATGCATATTTATCATATAATGATGTATAGTAATTGATAATTATACGTGACACATTGTTTTATTTCCAGTTCATTGGATAATAAATTTGAGATGTTTTTAATGAGAAACATTTCACTTTAAAATTTTTGTCAAGAACAAAGTGTGATTGATTCAGATCAACGTCCAATTTTGACTTTCCAAAATAAACTGTATCACCAGTTAGTGTAGTAATTGCTGTTTCTTTAGGAAATTATTTGTTAATTTTTCAGAAATATGCATGTTTATCATATAATAATGCATGGTAAGTGATAATCATGTGACACATTGCTTTATTTCCAGTTTATTGGATTCTAAATTTGATATGTTTTTAATGAGAAACATTTCACTTTTAAATTGTTTTGAAGCTTTTATGTAGAACTCCAACTCCAAGTGTGTCAAGTTCAATTATTCATTATATGCTTAGTTAAACGAATGACTGTGACATAGCCTACTTAGCTAGCTATAATCACGCATAAACGTTTTACTTAATCCATTTCCTTTATCCTATGTTGTCATATAATTCTGCTCAAACTCTGTTTTCCAGTTAGTTCCTACTGAATTCTATATACTTTGTTACAGAAATCAATCAACTAAAATTACTTTGTTACAGAAATCAATCATTATTATTTTTCTCTCTTTAGTAGGAAACACATACAATTTATGCACTCTCTCGTTGAGGTTTATTAGTTGATAAGTTTATTTGCAATACTTATTATCGTTTCTTGATTTTGTGCAGTCTTTTCATCATTAGAAGCTCCATGCTCGTTTAGATGCAAAAACTTGATGTTTCCGCTGGAAAGAGAAGCAAAAGTGAGAATTCTAATCCTCTTATGAACACCTGATTACTGTCTGACCGTCCATTGCCAAACAAGTCGGAGGTTCGCAGATTGATTGTATGAGCTCATTATTTCTTAATCATTATTCTGTTCATCGGTATGCAATTTACGATTACCTGAGAATGAAATACTTTTAATCTAAACTACTATGTTCATATGGCAGTAGGGACTTCGCAGATTGGTTGCTTCTTCTCTTTGGATTCTGTAATTGCAGAAAGCCAGGCAGAGGGACAATAAACGTTTGTTAACTCTAATGGGGAAAGTAAGTACATACGAAACGTATGCTATTTTTCATACAGCAATATTTTTTTCTTTTCAAAAAGAATTGACGCTCTCTTTTTCTATGGCCAGTTCTAATTGATGTGGAATATGAGCAATTGGTCTTGAAAAAGGAGCAAACGACTTCGGTAAACCATGTCTACCTTTACTATTATCTTTTATCTCCTATTTATCAGTATGCAAACATTATTCTTATTCTTTTCAGCAAATTATGAGGGACAAACTTAACATCAAGAGAATTCTGGTGCTACTGATTGTATGGTTTCTTGCTTCTTCAAGTTTTCAAGGCAAGTAAATTGCATCTCTTTCCTTTCTAAACTTGTATAACATTGTGTTCAAGACAGTAAATTGTTGCTAAGAAAATCCCGTTAAAATTTAGGGCCCATTTGGGAGTAATTTTAAAAAAGATCACTGGACTGGAGCAATGACTTGTTAGAGAGTGTTTTTACTATCTTATGAATTGTTGGTACATATGACGAATTTTTTGGTACTGTTTTATTTTACTTCTTGATTGGAAATATAGAAAGCTGTTGAATATAATATTTGACTATAAATATTTGACCATATCTAATAGTTTAAATTTTTAGATCAAATGGTTTAACGAGGTATTAGAGTAGGCAAAAGTCCCAGGTTCAAGTCTCACCACCAGCCATTCATTAAAATTGTGCCCATGTAAGGCTTTACTGAAAAGAAGATAATCTTGCTTACACGTGAGATGGCGTGATGAAAATAATATTTAAATGATAAACATTTGATTATTTCTAACAGTTTAAACTTTTAGATCAAATGCTTCAACAATACTCCTGCCTTGTGATTTTATTGTTTTTGACACTGACATGTTCTTCTTCCTCAAAAAGAACAATTCTTGAATGGCAAACTAACATGTTTTTTTCTCATTACCCAAATTATGCATTCACCAAAGATATTAAATGAAGAAATAGACTAGGATTAGTTTGAATCAATTTTGATTTATTTCTATCCATTTCGAAGCAGAAAATTTTTCATCTATTTACTGTGGTTAACTTTTAATGTTTACTGTGGATTCGAAGTATAAAAAATAGGACTAATATTATTGAATATGCAGACCATTTGAGTGATATTAAATTACTCCTTACAAGTATTCTCTCTCTTCTTTCTCTCACCCATTATGCATCAAATGATGGTAAGAATATTCCTTTAATAGATGAATTTGTCTAGTGGAACATAATGGAGTGTACCGATGTACACCTCACTCACATGGGTGTGGGACCCATGTGAAAGAAATAATATTTTATTCGAGTGGGTCTCTCACCCATATGAGTGGGGTGTACACCATTAGGTACATCCCGATATGCCACTAGCAAAACCGTTAATAGATAACCGTTCTATAAAAGTTCATTACTATATAAGCTATATAGGACATGAAATTTTTTGCAAGTAGACCCTCAAATTGATTTACCACCTGGCTCTAATTTTCCGTTTAGCATTTTGTATATAAGAGGAATATCATATTTATTATGTTACTCCTTCTATTTAAATTAGGGAAAATTGTAGCAATGGTCCATAACCTTTCTTTTTTTTTTTAGCAAACATTATCCTGACCTTCAAGTTTTTGTCAGTCGAGGCCTCCAACCTTTGAAAAATTTGCACCTGAGGTCCAAATTTGGCCATTAGTTGACCCGGAATATCTAAAAATTGGATATTTTGACCATTTAAGTAGGACATTTTCGACAGTCTCATAATAACTTTAGATTTTTTAATAAAAACACATTTATATAATAAGGAATAATCTTTTTAAAAAAAAAAAAATCAAAACTAACTTCTTAGTGAATTGCATCCCTTTCCTATTTAAACTTGTATAACATATTTGATAAGGCAAATTGAGCAGTTTTGGATGATATTCTCGTCCCTTCATATCTAGTACTATATATCAAACAAACTAGTAACATTGTGTTTTCATTTTATTTATGCTGATCAGTGAATATGAATGTTGGTCTACAGAATGATTTGACAGCTTGTACTCCAATGTACCGAGTTTCATGACTGGCCCAACTAACAAATTAGTAATCCACATCGCGCTTTGTATATCTTTTGTTGTAAGCTCCAGTTGGCTAATTTGGATCCTATTTAGCGGTTACATCAGCTGGATTTCATGGCTTGCTGTTTTACATCATATTTGACATAAACATTGTTTCTGTTATTACACAGTTAACAAGAGAGGGCAGCACGGCGAACCATCATCTAGCGACACTTTTTTCTTCGAGTGTCGAGCAACTCTGGGAACATTTATTGTCAGTTGAAGCCAATGTTGTTGATAAGTGTATATAACCTATCTATATTGCTCGAGTATCTGCTGATTTTTGACATTTCTTTATGTCTTAGGGGTGGTCCCGAGCTTCGAAAACACGTGGGCGAATAATGGAGCAAAAATTAGTGTTAAACACCGAAAGAGGAGCAATTTGGAGAGCAGCATGGGAAGATTCATGAATTTCCATTTGGCATATAATATATTATGGGAAAGATCATCCAATCTGGAGTCTAACGCAAAAAGATGGGTTGCAAATCAGAGTTGTAGATAAAATGTCATGCGAAACTGAAGTTGGACTGCAGAGACGAGTACAAGCACTGTCGGTGTAAGGTGGTGGTGCGAGTTGAAGCATCACTGGTTCAAGTTAGCGGCACCAAACTTCGTGGATGGTCTCAGGGTGGTGATTCTGGTGTTTTGGGCACAAATTTCAAGCAAATCTAACCCTACGATGGATATCTCCACTCAATTTGCTTATTACTTAAATGATGTGTAACTAAACTCATTTGTTAGGATAATTGGAGTAACCCAATTTTGAAGATTGGCTCCGACAATGTATAAAGTGCATCTCTTTACCAACACTAGAGTATCTACCCTTGTGTTAGAGACTTGAGCATGAATCAATTAAAAGTAATTATAGAGGAGTTTTATGGAAATATGTGTTGGGGAGAATTACCATCCAAATCACTGGAGACTCTATTTTTTAGGACATGACAGAATGGGAGGAATGGCTTGGATTAAAACTTGAAGTGCATGGGGAAATTAAATTCCTCAAGATGTATTGCATAAAGGAACGTCCCAAATTGATAAAGATTCCAAAATTGTTATTTCTATTTGTGAACTATAAGTAGAAGGGTGTGGTGAAGATGTGTTAAATGGTATGCACAATTTAACCACCCCAACCAATTTAAAATTGAAGAATATAGTTGGTATGACTTCAATTAACAATGCATTCATGCGACTTGAAAATTTTGAAAAGTGATGATTGTAAGGACCTAGTGACTTTTTGGTCAAATGATAATATTGTGCAAAGCCTAGTCAACCTACTAACATTCGAGGTTAAATGATGTCCTCAGCTTTCATCTATTGTAGAAATTGGTGTTCTTCCTACAATTGATCATCTCCGTGTAAGGAATTGTGCATTTTTGGAGATGTTCCCTAACAACATATCTTTATATATATTATTGTATATAGAAAATTGTCCATCCTTGAAAACAATGATGTTACATAATTGTTAATCTCTCAATCGAAGAACTTTATATTGGGTAAATTTGAATGTTACCAAATTATTTGGGTCTGCTTGAAATTACTCAAGTCTTAGAAGACTACCAAAATTAATTCGGATAAGCAATGCCAAATATATTAAAGTCTAAATAAGTTACATATAATTGGCAATTCTATTCCTATTTTTTAATTGTGATAAATGTTGACCTATTGGAGTCGTTAGATCTGTTTCTTCGATGTGAACTTTTAAGGTTTTCTAGTCTTGTTCTTTTTCTATAATATTGATGTCTTTCTCTGTAAATCTTTTGAACGTTTGATTCTAATCGTTTTTGGTAAATGATCAGAGAGAGAAAATTGTATGGATTACTTTATCTTTGTGTTTGAAAGAGAGGCGAGACAAATCTAAAGAAATCTTATACATTTGTATTACTTCTTGGTGATTTCATAGTGAATTTGAGCGTAATCTACTTGTAGATGCTCAATGGGTGAGTAGGCTAAAGCTTAAATTCGGACCTTTGGGGGTGAAATTCTTCGTGTTAATTTAATTTTCTGAAAACGGTCGATATAAATTCTTTGTAAATTCGATTCTGAGACCAACAACCTCCTCTATGTGTAGACCAAATTTATTTTCACCAGACTATAACAATTTCCATAAATGAGTAATGATGAGACTTGAATGGGAATCCCACTTTGCTATCACGTTAAAGTGCATTTTAAGATGAAGCCTAACTTAGCATTATCAGAATGACTCGGCCAGATTAATAATATATCGGTTATCAAAATATTTTCTGTGTACCATGTATTTGAGCCAACAAGAAAACAACTGAAGGGGACACGATGCAAACAAAAAACAGCAAATACTTAGTACTTCCCACACATCAGAATGTAGGGCGCCTCATTATGCTTAACCTAAATTAAAAAAGAAACGACAAATGACCATTGCTATAATTCTATAATACTCGTCAGTACATGCCTTCTTCGAGCTTGATGCAGATAGATTGAAATCTAAGATACAGGAAAAACCAGAACTTCATCTAGGACAGGACCACAATGAGTCCCGTAGTTGTTGGTCCTAGGGTGGTAGAAGGAGCTAAAGAAGGTTAATCTGGTCCTGTACAAGATTGCTTTGAACTGGAAATTGAAGGTCTTGAAATTTCTTTTTCCTTCAGATTTGAAGGGAGTTTTCACTGTTCCTTTAGCAGCAAATGCTTTGACCATCGTTGATCCGTGACAGTTATTCTTTGCTTCTCCTACAGTGAATGCAACATTATAGACCTTGTGGGGGACTGTTCTGATTACTTGGGCTATGGCACTCTCTCTTCCTGCATCTAGTTATACTGCTGCTCATCTAAGGGGGACGTTGAAATGATTTGAGTCTATGAATTTGACGGCTTTAATAGATTCGATGATCTAACCAGGAAGTCGGGATGTCAAATCTTTCTGTTTCGAAAGAAGTGGGACACCATGAGAAAAGTTGATCAAGAGATGAGGACCCTCCTCAAAACCATTATTCTCGACCAAGTTAGCTGCAAGAATTTGGGACAAATTAGCTCAAAGTCATCCATTTGCTGCTTAAGCCATTCATAAGCTTAATTATTAGCAACAGTTTATGCTTGATATGTAAAATTAAACATATAGCCACCCTAGAGATTGCAGAATGTGCTTACATCAAGAATCAAAATAGTGCAGCAAAATTTTTCGATAGTATTGCATAAGATAAGACAACGCACAAATTTTATTTACTTAATTTTCAATTCCCTAGTACCAAACATGTTAGAATAATTGAATTCCAATATATTTCATAGGAAGTAGAATATGAAAACAATTTCAATCTAGTCACGAAAAGTATATAATTACCTTCGGTGAATCTTGGATGGAAAAGTTCTTTAATAGCAACAGCATCCAGGAGAGGTCCACAAGCAGGATCCTCTTGCATTCCTGGATTATGAAAAATCACCTTCACTGAATTAGAAGTGGCTCCGAGTCTCCAAGCATAAGTGTCGCACCATTACTACTATACAGAGTCTGTGAAGTGAGATCCCCAGATTGAGGGGGTACCGACACCCTCAAGACCTCATCTTGGGCACAAGTTCTTGATGCACCAAATGCGTGTGCATATGTCGAGCCATTTTTGAGGAAATTGAGGCATCGTTTCCAAGTCTCACAGTGTGAATGCCACGCTCTACTGCAAAGAACATTCCACCGGCTGTGGCCCAATGGAGATGTACTTGACTAAGCCATTGATTTCCCACTTGGGCAGTGCATATTTCCCTTGGAGCACTGTTCTCTTTATGTCAATGGGCTTTGTTATCTCTTTAAAGTTTCCATTTGGAAGTAGACCTGAGAAAACATAGAAGTAGCAAATGAAACACTTTTTGAACATCCTATGGGTGAAAACAGAAGGGTATGTATCCGTCCTATCAAATACTCTCTGTCAGACACGCACGAACTTACCTACTCCACAGGAAGTACATTTTTCTCCAAAATCATGCCTCAGACCGCCAGACTCCTAGGACTCGAACCCTCACCACTCTTCGTTGAGAAAGCCCAACAATTGATAGAAACTACAAAAAATTGATATGTGCAAATGATGCAAAATAAAACCCCATAAGGATATAGAAAAGAAACAGGACAAATCATTATACATTTCAAGAAATGCCAATGAAAGAGAAACACTAACAAAGGTCTAGCTTTATTTAAGAACTCTTAAGTAAACTAGACAAGATTTTTGAGCATTTACCTTCCAAAGGGGCAGATGCAAGAGCAGGAACTGTGTAGAAAAAGCAGAGAGAAAGCACAAACGAAATCTTCAAACCCATCTTGTAAACAAGCTCGAAGGGTCTAAGATAAAGTTTATGCTTTATGCTTTATATTTGTACAGCAAAAGGAATGCCAGCTTGCGTGTGTCTGTGTGTGAAAATAGGAAAATGTGAAGGAACGTTACTATGGGTTAGAATTTGACAGTACTGTCGTTATTGAAAAAGAAATAGAAATTACTATTTTACTTGTTATGTTATTTAATTTTATACACTACTTATGTACAAGAGATACAAATATGCTCATGTTTGATGGGATTAAAATTAAATTTTTAGTAAATTTTGAATAAGCTGATAAAATATGTAGTTAAAAAGTTGTGGATTTTATAAAATATGTTGTTAAGATTAATTGTGTACTTTTTATTCAATATAAAATTCAATTAAAAAATTTAAGTCAAAATTCAATAATTAAATTTTTGCCACAGACTTTACGGAATTCATAACTTTTCAATCGTACATTATATTAAATTTTTTTTTTTTTATCAAAATCTACTGAAAATTTTATTTTTATGTAAAGCAAATTGGGGCTAAATGCAAAACATAAAAGCGACGATCAAGTACCAACCTGGTAATTATCCCCCCCCCCCCCTCCCCACCAAAAACACCAAAGAAAAGTTTCTACTTAAGAACTACAGTTTCTCCTTAATCCATGATTAAATTCATTTTTTAATCATAACTATTTTCTTTACATAATTCTAATTAAGAAATTTCTTGTTTACATTCTTTTACAGCATGCTTTTATGTCATATGCAAAAGAACGTGTTCAACAAACTTGAAATAGAAATGAAAAGTTCATTTTAAACTTTTTTCATCGATCATAATTTGAAGAACTACATTTTATTAACAAAACATAGAAAATGGACTTTTGATTTACATGCTCAGTCTCACATTTTTATCACTGTTATAAGAGGGCAAAGGAAAATAGCAAATAGAGTGAGAAAAAAAAACATTTCTCTTATAAATACACTATCAATTTAAGTTGATGAGAAAAGTAGAGAAAATGTACGATACAAAATTAAATAAGTAGAAAATTATGAGAAATTGCTGATCGCGATAAACACTATAAATCAACATTTATGACACGTTTAGTAATAAGTATTTGAAATAACAAGGTACTAAGAAAGATAATAGTATTTACTATTACTGAATCCTAGAATACATCAAAATGGCCTCATTTCAGAAAGTTAATAAAGAGGTTACTTGGACATCGTTCGAAAATAGAAGAGAAGAAGAAAAGGAATGATAGCACGTATATTTTTATCCTTCTCTTTTCAGTTTTGTTGGATTTTTGTTTTCCCAATAAATACAAATGCATCTTACCTTGATTTCTTCCGATTTTAAACCGACAAGTTATTTGGATATTGTTCGAAAATAGAAGAGAAGTGGAAAAAGAACGATAGCACGTATATTTTTATTTTTTTTATTTTTAGTTTTATTATATTTTTGTTTTCCAATTAAATACAAATGCATCTAACCTTGATTTCTTTCGATTTTAACCCAACACAACTTTTTTCTAGTTGATTTTTGTTTAGTTAAATTGACTTTAACTGACTAATTTATTTGTGATCTTGATCTATTAACTTCTTAACCAGATGTTATCCATGGTTGAGTAAAAA